TGCTGCAATGAACAGGTTTGGGGTCACCCTGCTGCAATGCACGGGGTTTGGAGCACCCTGCTGCAGCGCAGGGGGTTTGTGCCATCCAGCTGCGCTGCACAGGGCACAAGGCTGCCCTGCTGCAGTGCACGGTGGGCTCAGCCCTCCCCGTGCAGCACGTGCTGCCCTGCAGCGCCGCATGCGCCCGCAGCGCTGCCCGGCCGCGCACCAGAGCAGCCGCTCTCCACCCATCCGCTAGCCCTCCGCTTCCCGCGCTGCCCTGCCTGCATCTGCCCCATCCCCTCGTGCCACGGAGCCAGGAAGCCCTTCCCTGCGGTGGCACGGCCTCCAAAGCCTCCTCCGCCTCCTCCGCCTCGCCTGCCTCCCGCGGCGCCTCCCGCGGCAGCGCCGGTGCCGGGCTCGCGCCCTGGCCGCTCACGCCGTGTCTCCGCAGGCGCCCCGCCAAGTACAACCTGTGCAGCGACAACCACGGCATCAAGCCGCCCACGCCGGAGCAGTACCTGACGCCGCTGCAGCAGAAGGAGGTCTGCATCCGGCACCTGCGCGCGCGCCTCAAGGACACGCAGGAGCGCCTGCAGGACCGGTGAGCGCCGCGGCGCCGGGCGCCCGAGCGAGCGCGGGGACGCGTCACCCGCGGCCTTGGGTGGCACCGGGTKGTTGTCCCTTGGGGTGCACTTGTGTCCCACAGCCGCGCTGTGGCTGGCTGCGGGTGTCACGGGGAGGTGGCTGCCATGTCCCTGTGTCCTGTGTGTGGGTGGGTCGGAGCTCCGACCTCGCCTGCTGTCACCGCGTCCCCTCCATGGGTCCCCCAAGCAGCAGCGCCATGAGCAGCTGAACCTCCCTGTGCTCCTCGCACGCTCAGGCACGTCCTCGTGCCACAGCATGTGGCCACCTCGGCCACACAACCAGAGGGACATGCAGCTGGGACGGGGCTGGAGCCCCTCGGAGCATCCGCTCCCAGCCCCGGCTTTAGAAGGGGGCTGGAAAATAGGAGCCAATGGTGACCCCCGCGTGAGCCCCGAAGGGCCAGGGCTGGGGTGACGGCGGTGACCGCGTGTCCCCCCGCAGGGACGCCGAGATCGAGGACCTGAAGACGCAGCTGTCGCGGATGCAGGAGGACTGGATCGAGGAGGAGTGCCACCGCGTGGAGGCCCAGCTGGCGCTCAAGGAGGCCCGCAAGGAGATCAAGCAGCTCAAGCAGGTCATCGACACGGTGAAGAACAACCTCATGGAGAAGGACAAGGGGCTCCAGAAGTACTTCGTGGACATCAACATCCAGAACAAGAAGCTGGAGACGCTGCTGCACAGCATGGAGCTGGCGCAGAACGGGGCGCCCAAGGAGGAGGGTGCCGGCGAGTCGGCCGGGGGCTCCCCRGCGCGCTCGCTCACGCGCAGCTCCACGTACACCAAGCTGAGCGACCAGGCGGCCGGCGAGCGCAACGGCGGCGGCTCCCAGACCATCTCGGTGGACGAGGGCGCCGACAGCGGCTTCGGCAACGCGGACGAGGCGCCGCCGAGCCGCACGGACTGGCCCGAGGCGCCGGCGCGGCTGCCCGCCAGCTGCACCTACGAGAAGCTGCTGGGGCGCGCGGGCGGCGTGGAGGCGGCCGTGCAGGCGAGCTGCATGCAGGAGCGCGCCATCCAGACGGACTTCGCGCAGGGCCAGCCCGACCTGGACGCGCTGCTCGAGAAGGTGATGCACTCGCAGGYGTGCAGCCTGGGCAGCCCCAGCTCGGCGTGGGCGTCCGACGGCGAGGAGCTGCCGCCCGCCTGCCCCGAGGGCGCCGCGGACAGCGCGCCCGCCGTGCGCCAGCCGCGCGGCGCCTCCGTGGCCATCGCCTGCGCGCCCGACGAGGAGGCCGAGGCGAGCGGCGAGGCCGCCGCCTCCAAGAGCTACTGGAGCCGCCACTTCATCGTGGATCTGCTGGCCGTGGTGGTGCCGGCCGTGCCCACGGTGGCCTGGCTGTGCCGCTCGCAGCGGCGCCAGGGCCAGCCCATCTACAACATCAGCTCGCTGCTGCGCGGCTGCTGCACCGTGGCCCTGCACTCCATCCGCCGCATGAGCTGCCGCTCCGTGGGCCCGGCCGGCGGCGCGCAGCCCTGAGCGCCGCGCGCCCGCCGCCCCCGCCGCCCCGACCGCTGATTGTAGCGCCCGCCGCCCCGGGCCGTGCGGCGCTGCGGGGGCCGCGCACCGGCCGCCCGGGCCCCGAGGAGCGCGGCCCCGCGGCTCGGATATACCTCACGCGCGGCTCGGCCGCCCGCCGGCGCCTTCCTTAGCTGCTCTGCACTACGGTCACTTTTCTTTCTTTCCTTGTTTTCTTTCGGTCCTTCCCAAAGGTGCCGGGCGGGGGGCGGTGGAGCCGGGGCGGCCGCGGGGTCCCCACTCCCCTGCCCCACGGAGCCGCCTTGGGGGGCGGCCCCGGCCCAAGCCCTGCTCTGCCCCCAGAAAAGGCCTTTTCTTTAAAAAAAAAAAAAAAAACAAAGACAGCAAAGATTGATGAGCCGGGGGTGCAGTGGGAGAGGCGGGGGCCCCGGCCCCGCTGCTGAATGTCTGCGGCTGCTTCGCGCCTTGAGCTAACCGGGTTTGGCACCCGGCCCCTCCGCTGTCCCCGCGGGCACCGCGTCCCATCTGCCCCCCGGCCGCGCGGCCTTCGCGGCAGCGAGGAGGAGGAGGAGGAGCGGGGTGGACCCCGCGCCTGCCCCGTCCGCGTGGCTCCGTGTGCCCCGAGCCTCTCCCGCGCTTTGCCCCCGAATCAGTGTGATACCCACTTTATTTGAGAGACAAAGATCTATACAATATATATTTTTTAAATACAGACGTCGAACCGCTGTAACCGCCATTCCCCCGTTGCCGCTGTCCTGTAACCGCTGTCTGTGGTGGCCGTAATAAACGTCGCTGGGTCTGTGTCCGCTTGCACGGAGCGTGCGCGGGGACGCGCGGGGACGCGTGGGGACGCGGGCACAGCGGGGACGCGGCCGSGGGGACGCCGGGGCTCAGAGGTCCGGCACGGAGCGGTCCATGGCCGTCTTGGCCTGCGCCGGCGAGAGCCTGCGGAGAGGGACAGGGCGCGCGGTGGGCGAGGGCTCCGGGGACCACGGCACCGCGGCGCCGCTGCGCTCACCGCTTCACCATGTGCTCGTAGATGACGGCGGGGATGATGGTGAGCGTGACGATGCGCCCGGCGCCCGCCAGCACCTCCTGCAGCTGCTTATCCTGGGGGCGAGACGGGGGCTGTGTTTGGAGCGTCGCTCGGGCTGGGGGCCCCGCTCGCTGCTGCGAGCGTCGCGTGCATCATCGTGTGCATCACTGCATCATCATTGCATCATCATTGCATCATCACGAGCGTCACCACACGCATCATCACATGCATCATCTTGTGCATCATTGCGTCATCATTGCATCATCACGAGCATCATCACAAGCATCATTGCACGCATCATCATGTGCATCCTGCGCATCATCCTGTGCGTCCTCCCGCTGTCCCTACCTTGAGCCCGATGACGTTCTGCCCGTTGACCTCGCAGATGTAGTGGTGGGTGAGGAGGCCGTTGCGGGCGGCGGAGCCGTCCTTGGTCAGCGACACGATCTGCCCCTTCTTTGCCACGAAGCCCACGTGGCCGTTGCTGTCCTTGTGCACGGTCACGGTGCGCTGGAAGGGCCTGCGGGCCGGGGGTCAGCGCGGTGACGGTGCCGCCGTGCCCGTGCCCRTGCCCGCGGGCGCCTCACCTGTCCCGCACCACCATGACGATCTTCTCGGGCGAGGCCTTGCGCAGCGCGCGCTGCGCCTTGTCGCTGCTCCAGCCCGCGCAGCTCCGCCCGTCCAGCTGCAGCACCTGGTCGCCGAAGCGCAGCCCCACGAGCGCCGCCGGCGAGTTCGCCTTCACCAGCTGCACGAAGATGCCCTGGGGACGGGGACACCGCGGTGGCACCGGGGGGACACCGCAGGGACGGGACCCCCCCGCCCCGCACCGGCGCCCGGCCCGGCTCACCTGGTCGATGTTCTTGAGCTTGAGCCCCGTCTTGCCCCGCTCGTCCTTGCACAGATGGATCTCGCGCAGCCCCGGTTTGATGGCGGCGCGCCGCAGCCCCGCGTCGCCGCCGCTCAGCGGGGCCACCAGCTGCCCCGGCACCGCGGCGCCCGGCGCCTGCGGGGGAGCCGGCCACGGCGTCACGAGGCGCCGCGGCCACGGGACCCCCCCGCGCGGCCCGATACCTACGGCGGGCACCAGGCTCCTCTGCACGTCCGCGCTGCTCAGCGCCAGCCCCATGTAGTCGTCGAGCGCGGCCAGGTCGGGGTAGAGAGCGGGCACCGCTGCGGGGCACAGCCCCTCAGCACCCGCGCCCTAGGGACCCCCCGCCGGCCCCCCGGCCCATGCACCGAGCTGCACGGGCTCAGCCGGGCGCTGCCCCCGTGCCCGCATGGTTTACCGGGTTTATCGGAGCCGGGCGGGCCGCTGGGCTGCTCCATGGCGGGCGCCGTCGGGGGCGTGCGGAGGCCGGCGCGGGCCTGCGCCTGGGCGAGAGGCGATGCTGGAGGCCGTGCACATCGGGGACGCGGGGGGCATCGCGGCGCCCGCGCTCACCCACCTCCAAGAGCTGGTGGCCCTTCATGTCCTCGAGCGACGGGTACAGAGTCGCCATCGCCGCGTCCTGAGGATGAGCAGGGTGCAGGTCACGGGCTTGGGGGCCGCTCAGTGCCCGGAGCTACAGCCCCAGGACGGGCACCAGGACGAGCCCCGTGATGGGCACCAGGACGAGCCCCGTGATGGGCACCAGGCCGGTCCCAGGACGGGCACCAGGAYGAGCCCCGTGACGAGCACCGTGACAGGCACCAGGATGAGCCCCGTGATGGGCACCGGGACAGGCCCCGTGATGGGCACCGGGCCGGGTCGCGCTGCACGGGACGTGACTCAGAGCAACGTCACGGGCCGCCGCCTCCGCCGCTTCCCGGCGCGTTGGGACACGGCGGATGCGGCTGATCCGGCAGGTGATCCTGCGGCACCACATCCCACATCCCCCGGCAGCGCCCGGAGCGAAACCCTCCATCCCTCTCCTTGTGGGCTTCACCTGCCCAGGAGCAGCAGCTGGAGCCACGCGGAGACTCTGTCCCGCTTTGCGCACCGGGTGCCGAGGGCCGCCCTCATGGGGCCAGGCTGCCGGCACCGCGGGGACACCGAGGGACAAGGACACGGGTGGGGAAGGGCAGGGCCCGGAGCCGGCGGCAGCTCCGGGCATCGCAGGACTCACCTGCAGGCAGCTCCCAGCTCCGGCGCTGCCCTTCGCCCCGAACCCGCCGTTTTATCCGGGTGCCACCACCAGGGAGGGGCCTGGGCRGCCGCACAGGTGCACAGGAGGAGGAGGAGGAAGAGGAAGACGACGGGGTGGTGGGAGGAGGCCTGGCCCCTCTGGGGAGTTGATGGGGATGGGGACACAGGGATGAGGACACGGGGATGGTTTTCCCTAAGGATGGGGATGCCTTCCCACGTCCCACCCCGCGGGACCCCACTCCAGTGTGACAGTCCCCAGTGCCCACCACAGCCCCCATCCCACTGCGACGTCCCCTGGGGCGCCCTCGCGCACCCCAGGGCGTCTCCGCTTCCCCGCGGCTCCGGGTTGGGGCGATGCCGGGTGCCAGGAGCCCCATGGAGGCAGTGCGGCCACCCCGTCCCCATTCCCGTCCCCMTTCCCATCCCCGTCCCATGCAGGCCGAGGGAGCAGGTCCCACGCGCAGGGGCAGGGCTGCGCGGGCAGGAGCTGCTGGCACGGGGCCGGGCACGTCCCGCTCCGCCGTGCCAGGCCACCAGGAAGCGGGTTATTTATTCACTCGTGGTATTTTTAGCTGCCCGGGAGCAGCCCAGCCCAGCGGCGCAGGGCACCGAGCGAGCGCAGGGAGGGGACGGGCCGCGGCCGTGGGAAATGAGCCTCGTTCGGGGCGCCGCAGCCAGGCCGGGGTGCGCTCGGAGCACAGGGACCCGCGCGGAGCGCAGGGACCCGTGTGGAGAGCTGGGACCCACTCGGGGCACAGGGACCCACTCGGGGCAAAGGGCCCCGCTCCCACATCCCCCAGGCRCATCCCATTGGCACAGCCCTGGACACGGGATGCAAAGGGCCCGCAGGAGGCCCCGCTCGCTGCAGGACACCAGCTCATCCCACAGCACTCCGAAGCACGGGAACACCGGGCAGCGGAGCTCGGCACAAACCTGCAGGAGCCAAGCGCATCTAGAGCCGGAGCTGTGGAACAGCCCCGACCCGTCAGCGCAGCAGCCCCGAGGGACCAACCTGACTCCCCCCGGGAGGGGAGATCCCGGGCACGGCCAAGGGCTGTGGTGCCAGCTGGGATTCTCGGGGGGAAAAGGTCCCTACACATGCAAGGAAGCAGCTGGAGCCGGGACACGAGGGAAGGTGCCGAAACGCCCCCGCTTTCCCAGCCCGCGGTGACCGGTGTCCCCAGCCGCACGCGCAGCACCCTCAGGGCTCAGGACAGGACCTTCTACAAGGGCTCGGCGCAGCCACACGAGTCGCTCCCTGGAAGGTCGCAGGTGCCAAGGCCCTGAAGGCGACGCTCACTGCGTTTGTGCTAGGACAAGGAGGTGAACGTGGCCAGGGCTCAAAGCGCCGCAGGGCCGAGCGCGGCACGAGCCGGGCACAGCCGCAGCGACGGCAACGGCCCCCGGAGCCGCACACAAGGGAGGGAAGAACCTCCAGCACACAGAGCTGAGAAAAGCCAGCATAAAGCACTTTTATTGCAATAATAAAACTCGATACCTTTATGCGGTGGAGAAGGAAGTGAAGAGCGGCAATTCCTCTTAGCAAATCACTTGGCRGGCAGAGCGGGCGCGGAGAGGGCAGCAGCGGGGAGGCTGCGCAGCGAGCGGGGCCGGCGATGACCAGCATCGGCAACGGGGAGAGCGGCCGCGGTGCCAAGCGGGGCTCCCCCCGCGGCAGCCCCGGCCCCCCCGCGGCAGCACCTTCCTCTTGCCTTTTCTTTGCTCTCCTAGGGAAAGCTCCAGGCGAGTTCTGGAAGCTGGAGGGAGCTGCAGAGCTTCGGCTCCAAAACCCGACTCCAAACCTGCCCAAACCCCCAGTGCAGGCGGGCGCAGGGACCCCGCGAGCCGGGGAGCCGAGGGCAGGGGGAGCCAGGGGGGAGCAGGGGCTTCCCGGTGGCCCCGGGCACTGCCCCCCGATCCCAGCGCTGCTCGGCTCTCCGCACCCCGTCGGCCTCAACAGCCTCACTCTGCTATGGCTTTTGCAGCAGCAGCAATTTATGGTTTTAATACACCACAGAGGTCGGCACCAAAAACAATGAACTAGCAGGTTTCCTTTTGTTCACACGACTCCTATCTAAGGTCAGGCCACCTGCATACTACTGGYAAAACGTAGGCTACACCTGGAACAAAAATAAGAGTAAGAATTTGACCCAAAAGAGTTGAGGTTTACGGCGTAGAGTTTAAAAAGACGTAAAAACACGATACGAGGAGGAAGAGTCGGACGCAAAGCTTAGTGACCAAAGGCATTCAATCAAGGTGTAAGGTTATACAATGAGTGTAGTGGAATATCGGGGTAAGCTCCGTACAAAGTCATGTGCATTCTTCTTGAAGCTGAGATTCTGGACTCCTCCATGTGCCAAACCTGCCCGGGAGAGGAGAGAGGCTCGGTGAGGAAGCGGCCGGCCGGGACCRTGGCGGCCTCGGGAAGGGGCCTCCTCGCAATGCACTTGCATTGCCCTCAAAGCAGGGCTCCAGCCCCAATTACAGGGGTAACTGCCCTTCAGTAATTCACCAGTGTCCCCAAACCACCAGTGTCCCCAGGGCACCAGTTCTCCTACCCACAGCTAGGAACCTGGCCTGTCCATCCATGCACCCAACAACCACGAGTCCCGTCAGCCCGAGGCCAAAGAGAGGGGCCTTGGGGAAGGCTCCCTGTGCGCCCATGGGGGCTGCTCCCTCCTTACCCAAGGACGGCGGGGCGGGGAAGGTCATTCCAATTTCATGAGCTCCACGTCAAAAATTAGAGTGGCGTTTGGCGGGATGATGCCGGGGTGGCCGGTGGAGCCGTAGGCGTAGTCTGGGGAGATGGTCATCTTGGCCCTCTGACCAACGCTCATCTGGGAGCAGAGAGAGAGAAGCACAGGTCAGGAAACACGTGGACCCGTCCCCTCCGACCCGCAACGGGTGGGAGTGAGGAGCCCAGGCTGCACAACGGCACACGGGATGGGATGGGAATGGAAGGAAGACGAGGAGCAGGCTGGAAAAGGAGCAGGAGGACGGCAGGGGGAGCAGGGCTGGGGACGCCCCTCACACAGGAGCGCAGGGMCGGCGGGGCCGGGCCCTGGAGACACCATGTGCGGTGCGGAAGAAGCGCCACGAGCGCCGCGCTGCGTGGGCCGGCGGCCCCGCAGCCTCGAGCACTCCCCACGGCGCCCGCTGACTCAGTGCCCAAATGTCACCGCTGAGTCACCGCGGTGCCGTGGGTGTTCCCAGGCCCGGACCTGCGCCGTTCCAGCCATCTGGCAGGCAGCAGCGCAGCCGGTGATGTTCTCACCCACGCGCCGAGCGGGCGGAGGGGTGGGAAACACAGGGAAAGGGAGAGCTGCACACATTGTGATCGCTGCCCACGCCGCAGCGCCCAGCAGCGCTGCCAGGGAGACCGGGAGAGGAGCGGCGGGCACCTGCGCGACTCCTTCCTCCCAGCCGCGGATCACCTCCTGCTTGCCCATCACGAACTTGAAGGGTTTGTTCCTGTCGCGGGAGGAGTCGAACTTCTTGCCGTCCTCCAGCATCCCTGCGGAGAGAAGGGGCGGGTCGGGGCGGCGGGCGCGCGGCGGCGCGTGACGGTCCCCGCGGGCGCACGCGGCCCTGACTCACAGCGCTCAGGTGCCCGGTGCTCCCCGCTGCCCGAACGGGACGGGCCCGGGGGAACCCAAGCGGCACCGCCCGGGACAGGGGGACGTTCCCTCCTTGCTGTTCTGCCCCGAGGAGAACGGCCCAGCTGGCACGGGCCGAAGCGGCAGGGGGACAAGGCACCTTTCCTAGCCCCTTCGCACAGTGCCTGTTCCCAGCACTTCCTGGGAGCGATTCCGGCCCGTCGGCCAGGCTGCGGGCACCAGGAAACACTGCTTCCCACTCAGAACCCCGCGGCCGGGCTGCTTCCCAGCAGGAAAGGCTCCACGGGCAGCTCCCCGGCTTCACATCCCCATGGGCACCGAGGGAAAAGGCAGGATGAGGAGGCCAGGCCAGGGCTGTGGGCGCTTCCGTGGCCCCGCTGGTCCCCAGCCAAGCCGCCCTCGTGCCCGGGAATCACCGGGCGAGGCCATGCCAGTCGACGGGCACGCTCATGCCCAAGGCAGCCTCGTTCCCCAGCGCACGGCTCATAGCAAGGGCCGAGCGGGGCCCGTATCCGTGAGGCTAAATATAGCTCCCCAAAGGAGGAATTTCCTCCCGTCTCCAGGGTGCCTCCCCTGCTCCCTGCGTGACCTTCTTGGGGAATCTCAGAGCCGGAGCTGCCTTAAGGAGCAGCGGCTCCGCACGGAGAGCTTGGCGAGGGGACAAGGGGCAGCCCCGCGGCACGGGGCTGCGCTCGCTCTGTCCAGGACAGCGACTCGGGGACAGGGACACGGGGAACGTCCTCCCCGACACGGGAACCCGCAGGGTGCTCCGAGAGCGCCCGGCAGAGGCGGCTCCCGCGGCACGGAGCGAAGCCGCTTCTGGGGACACGGAGTCCATGTGCTGTGACCCACGTCGTGGCCTCCCCTCCCGCCCCGCAGGGGACCCCGAGGGTCACCTTTTGCAGCGGCTCTGACCGTAAAAAGAAAGCGCCGGCGCTTGTGGCACCAGACCGGCGGTGACGGAACAGTTGGAAATTCATGAGAGCGACGATCAACTCTACAGCAAATGTCTCTCGCTTCCCCAGGAAGCCCAAGAACCAGTTTTCCTGGTTGGAAAAGGCTCCAGTTTGGCAAAGCACCCGCCTGCCTCGTTCTGCCAACGCRGATTCCTCCAGCCCGGGCACCGCGAGTCAGGGCACAGGACACGGCCTCTCGGGCCAGGCTGGCACCCTAAGGGCACCCAGGACATCCGTGCCACGGGAAGTGGGGTTAGGGAAAGGGCCTGGATGTGGGAGAGGAGAAACCGGACAGAAAGGGATGGAAAAAGTCATCCCCTTTGAGCCCGGGAGCCTGCGGTGCGAGGGGCTGCAATGCAGTGTTTAATTCCAGGCAAGGCAAAGCCGCTCCGACAGTCGCCTCCCGGCGCTCCGAGCTCTGGCCACCAGCTCCGCACCGCGGCACGGCCCCGGACTTTGGAATAATAAACAGGGAGCTTGCGCGTTTCCTGCTTCCCGGATAAACTTCCCGGCGCAGAGGCTGCTCCGGCCCTGCCCGGCGCTGCCGCGGGAGCAGCCCCGGGCGCTGCAGCCTCAGGTGCCGCAGTGACCGCGGGCAGGGGCAGACGCGGGCAGCTCGCTCACTCCTTCCCGCCGTCCCGGCGCCCGCTCCGGCTCCCAGGCTCGCCGACTCTCCTCGACGGCCGCGCCGCTGCTCGCGGTGCCGTCCCCGCTGCCGCTCGGTGACGCGCCTGGCRCAGCAGGTCCTCGCTGTCCCGCTGCTCCCCACCGCCAGCTCCCGCCAACACGGCACGGTCCGTGCGGAGCAGCACTTGGGAGCTTCCCCCTCCAAGGGCTCCAGGGAAGCTGGGGACTGTTGTCCCGTGTGGCTCCAGTGCTGGGGATCCCATGGCAGGGAAGGGTTTCCCGCTTGCCAGCCGCCTCCTGCGGCCTCCCTGGGATTAGCGAGGACTAGGCTGGTTAGAGCAGCCCCACGGGGGCAGCCGCCACCGCGGAGCCCAAAGGGACACCRGGGTCCCCCATGGGAAGCCAATCCCGCTCCCAGGCAGATCCGTAGGACTTTGCTCCGCATGGAAGAGCTGCAGACACAGGCACAGAGYGGCCTTCGGAGCAGCATCCTGGTCTCTGCGCCCCGAGGCTCCCGGGAGCCGCCCGAGCCTTGGACACGCACGAGCAACCGCTCCTCACCCTGCCTCGCCAAGCAGGCGGATAACGAGATCTCAAAGCTGCTAGCAAGGCAAAGCATCCTCAGGAGATGCGGCTGCCCTGCCAGAGCCCAGCAACCTTCCCTTCCCACTGCCCATCCCCTCTGCAAYGGAGATGAGGGGCTGCGAGACCCCGATCCCCCCATTCCCTCTATTAACCTACTTCAGCCCCAAAGCATCGAGTCAATCCCACTCCAATTACTCCTAACGGTTCTGAGTACGCAAGAGCTCTTCACTCTGGATTTCGCTTCCCTAACAGCCTTTTGCAACCGATTTCACATCAAAGGCCGCTCTGAAAGCCCCAGTGCATTAGCTCTCCCGCAGCGCTCCCTCTCCTGCTATTCCCTCCCTCAGGCCAGGGCTGCGATTCCCCGTTAAGAGCGCTGGGCTCGTGGCCACCGGTCCTGCCCGGGGCCGAGGGACGGACTGGGTGACCTTCAGAAGCCCTGCCASCCTTCGAGCTCGCACTCGCGGCCTGCTAGGAAGGTTTCCTGAAAACAAACAAAACCACAGCCCGACCTGTGTCCGATGCAAGGAAAGGTCCAACCCCGCAGCGTCCACGCGGCTCTGCAGGTGCAAGCGCGGCGCGAGCGGCCGGTGCCACGAGGACGCGCTGCTCCTGACCCTCGCGTCCACATGGAGCTCCAGGAGCAGCTCCCAAGTGAGAGCGGGCTGCCCACAGCACCAGGCTGCTCCTGCAGCCACCACGTTCCCACCAAGCTGGGATCCTGCCGGGAATGGGGTGGTGAGGCTGCTCCCGCAGCCACCACATCCCCAACAAGCTGGATCCTGTTGGGAAAGGGGTGCCAGGGCTGCTCCTGCAGCCACCACATCCCCAAGTCGGGATCCTGCTGGGAAAGGGGCGCCGTACTGGGATGCCCCAGAGCCGGGATTCCCACGCGAGTCGCCCCTCCTGCCCAACACACTAGGAGAACAGCACAGCAAAGGCACCTGAGCGCCAGGCCGYGCTCCTCCAGCGCCCGCTCCGTGCATCCCGCGTGGGGACGGATCACAGCCCGGCACTGCTCTGCCACCAGTGCTCCGAGGACAGCACCACACTGCGCGTTTACCGCCGCTGTTCACGCTGCTCCCCACTCAGAGGCGCTGCGAAGAGCCAYGGGGCTGCAGGAACCAGGCGTTTCTATGCTTGTTTGGACAAATTTCCCTTCTCGCCGAGCAGGGCACACGTCGGGGAGCGGGGTCAGCAGGGAAGGCGGCGCACAGGCCTTGTGGAGCCTCCTCACCGCCGCTCGCTGCAGCGGCGGCTCAGGGACCTCTCTGTCCAGGGAGGAAAGGCCAAAGGGAGGCGCAAATCCAGGGGCAAAGCCAAAACTGCAAGACCACAGAAGCCCTTGGAAGCCGCGCAGCTCGATCAGCACGYGGGATCCGCAGGAGAGGAGCTGCTCCCAGCACCTTCCCCAGCCCCAAGGCAGCCCGAACGGGGACAGGGACCAGCACCCGACACGGCGAGCGGCTCCGCGCTCCGGCGGGCACCGCGCAGCACCCGGAGCGGCGCCGCCAGCCCGGCCTTTGTTCTCCTCGGAGGAAAACGGCTGGAAACGGGGCCAGGGCCGGAGCCGGCCGCTTCCTCTGCCTCCTGAGGGCAGCATTAAAAGGACGAGGGAGGAGGGGAAGCAGATGGGCCGGCCAGGGAGCCACCRCGCAGCCCCATGGCAGCCGGCGGGGAGGGCCTGGGCCGCTCTGCACCGTAAGGGCAGAGCCACGGGGGTCCTGCTGCAGCAGGGAGGCAGGAGGGACGCCCGGGCCCCCCGTCCTCGGGATCACRCCATCCCGCTGGCTGGAAAAGGAGGGCAGAAAGCACTGGGGGCGGGAGGCAAATGCCTTGGAATTAGTTATCAGGGGAGCTGCCACCAAGGGGTGGACTCGTTTTTGTCCGAGTGCGCAGCAGGGGACAYGCGGGGCCCACGCTCTTCAGAGGGTGCTCCGGGGGAGCCCAGGCCCCCGCACGAGCCCCTCCGGACCTGGATGATTTTCCAGGGTCGCAGCCGCAATGTTGTACTTGCTGCCGGAGCTCTACGAAAGCGGCTAGAATATGACACGTACTGAGCAGCTCTGCATTGGAATAGCTGGGGTGAAGCTAGAACAGCACCTTGCAATAACCATGCTGAGCCCAGCTGCTCCCGGCATCCCTCTAGGAGTTGGGAAGAGGGATGCAGCTCCCTGCAGGGCCTGGCCTTGGAAACAGCCTGGCACCGGGAAGGGGCCCTGGCTCCAGAGGTGACCTGGGGAGAGGGGACGCGGGAGCGGACGGCACCTCTCTGCGAGCGAAACCTCCATCCCGGGCGCACGTGCAGGAGCGGCGGCRCCGACTCCGCTGCTCCGGTCCCCCTGCCTGCGCTCCACAGGCTCGCATCCCATCGCATCCCAYCAGAGTGCCGGGATCCCAGCTCCACCTCTCACGACCCCATGAGCCCCAGGTCCCTGTGCTGGCTGGACCCCCTGCCCGGGGGTCACCGTGACCCCCACGAAGCGCGAGCCTGGCCGCGTCCTGCACAGGCAGCCCATTGCACCCAGTGTGCCCGGAGCCCTGGGTGCCCTCCCGGCATTCCCGGGAGCACAGGGCCGGGGGAACGCAGCACAACGGGGCCCAATGGCCCTCTCGCTTCGTTACTGCCGGGGCAGTGGGGAAAAGCAGCCCCACTGGGACAAGTGGGCACCCCGTCCCTGTGGGCTGCACCCCACGGGGCAGTTGGGCACCCCCAGAGCGTTGCAGGGATGGTCAGGACTCCCGAGGGAAGAGCCAGATCTTGTCCCRGAGCCCCCAGGAACAGCCTCCCCAGCCCCAAGAGACACCCAGAGCCCCCAGGGAGACCCAGAAACACCCAAACCAGCAGAAACAGCCTCCCTGGCGCCCCAGGGACACCTRGAAACACCTGGACCCCCAGAAACAGCATCCCCGGCTCCCCAGGGACACCTAGAAACACCCAGAACCCCAGGAACTGCCTTCCTGGCCCCCCAGGGACACCTAGAAACACC